AGGTTGAGGAAGATGGCTCCAACAGCAGCACGACGGCGTGGTGGTGGTGGAGCTGCAGTACTCCGGCAGGGCTTCGCCAAGCTCTATGGAGGAGGAGGAGGTGTTGGAGAGGGAGAGGGAGGCGCCAGGGCTTAGGTGTGGCTGCCCTCCCTTCCCCCCACTATATATAGGGGAAAGAGAGAGAGAGGGGGGGGGGGCGCAGCCTTGGCCCTTCCTCCAAGGAAGGGTGCGGCCAAGGGAGGAGTCCATCCTCCCCAAGGCACCCAGGAGGTGCCTTCCCCCTTTAGGACTCTTCCTTTCCCTTATCTCTTGGCGCATGGGCCTCTTGGAGCTGGTGCCCTTGGCCCATATAGGCCAAGGTGCACACCCCTATAGCCCATGTGCCCCCCCGGGATAGGTGGGCCCATCCGGTGGACCCCCGGGACCTTTCCGGTGGTCCCGGTACAATACCGGTGACCCCGAAACTTGTCCCGATGGCCGAAATAGCACTTCCTATATATAATTCTTTACCTCCGGACCATTCCGGAACTCCTCGTAACGTCCGGGATCTCATCCGGGACTCCGAACAACATTCGGGTTACTGCATATACATATCCCTACAACCCTAGCGTCACCGAACCTTAAGTGTGGAGACCCTACAGGTTCGGGAGACATGTAGACATGACCGAGACGACTCTCCAGCCAATAACCAACAGCGGGATCTGGATACCCATGTTGGCTCCCACATGCTCCTCGATGATCTCATCGGATGAACCACGATGTCGAGGATTCAATCAATCCCGCATACAATTCCCTTCGTCAATCGGTATGTTACTTGCCCGAGATTTGATCGTCGGTATCCCTATACCTCGTTCAATCTCGTTACCGGCAAGTCACTTTACTCGTACCGTAATGCATGATCCCGTGACCAGACACTTGGTCACTTTGAGCTCATTGTGATGATGCATTACCGAGTGGGCCCAGTGATACCTCTCCGTCATACGGAGTGACAAATCCCAGTCTTGATCCATGTCAACCCAACAGACACTTTCAGAGATACCCGTAGTATACCTTTATAGTCACCCAGTTACGTTGTGACGTTTGGTACACCCAAAGCGCTCCTACGGTATCCGGGAGTTACACGATCTCATGGTCTAAGGAAAAGATACTTGACATTGGAAAACTCTAGCAAACGAACTATACGATCTTGTGCTATGTTTAGGATTGGGTCTTGCCCATCACATCATTCTCCTAATGATGTGATCTCGGTATCAATGACATCCAATGTCCATAGTCAGGAAACCATGACTATCTGTTGATCAACGAGCTAGTCAACTAGAGGCTTACTAGGGACATGTTGGTGTCTATTATTCACACATGTATTACGATTTCCGGATAACACAATTATAGCATGAATAAAGACAATTATCATGAACAAGGAAATATAATAATAATGCTTTTATTATTGCCTCTAGGGCATATTTCCAACAAAAATGTCCACACTAAAGATGGATTCAAATGAAAAGGAAAACATTGCTACATGGACATGACCCGGTCGAAACCATGCCGGCTGAGTCGAGGGACAAAACTTCTTTGGTTTGAAAAGTTCAAGTTGCAAGTTGTCCTGTTTTTAAGTTGAAGTATGAAACCTGCACTCACTTCTCAATTAATTGAAGGACTAAAAGTAGACTTTCTCGTTATTTTATGCTGGTGTGATTCTTATTTGGTTAAAGTTTGACGTGCGTTGCACGTGCAAGTTTACTACTCCCTCCGTTCCCAAATACTTGTCTTTCTAGGCATTTCAAATGGACTCAACATACGGATGTATGTAGACATATTTTAAAGTGTAGATTCACTCATTTTGCGCCGTATGTAGTCACTTGTTGAAATCTCTAGAAAGACAAGTATTTAGGAACGGAGGGAGTAGTAGATATAGAAGTATAGATATAGATATAGATATAGACTCTTTTAATAATACTAGTATAGATTATTATTACGTACGTACTATCTCTCTTTGTTTCTTTCTTCTCCCTACTAATCCAAGCCCGCGACGGACCCGGCTTCCTCCTCTAGACTGCCCGACCTCCCCTGGATATAAGTAGCCACGCCCCCGCAGCCCCATGGCCACCAGCACCAAAGCAACGCAACTACAACCGGCGACATCGTCTTCTTCGCTTGGCGTCAGTTTTTCGGGCCTGATGGAGAACAAGGGGGCGGCAGCGGTGCCGGAGAAGGAGGCGCAAGCGCAAGCGCCGGCGTCGTCGTCGACGTGCTTCAAGTGGACGATGGGGGAGGGCGCGACGCTCATGGAGCGGGCCAAGGACCAGTACAGGCAGTTCACGGAGGCGCAGGCGAGCGAGCACTGGGAGTGCATCAAGAACACGGTCAGCTCCATGTTCGCCGAGCCCATCCCCTTCTTCGGCGGAGGCGCCGCCAAGGACCACGGCTCCAGCAGCAGCAACAGCTCGCCGCCGCCTGTCGAGTCGCAGTAGATCATCGACATCGTCGTCTTCGTCTAGATGGCCTATGTATAGTTTCTACTGTATGTTTCTAGATATCGTTGTCGCTAATTAGTTCAGGTCTTGGATTAAACTCGAGGAACTGTGTATTGAGGATTTTGAGTTGATTTTTTTTTTTTGAGAAACGGATTTTGAGTTGATTAAATTAGTGCAGTGATTATCTCGGGCTTTATTTTTTTCTTTTCCTGTCCCTTATTCTGAGGCTCGACCCATAGCAATTTTGTATGATTTTTTTTAGTTTGTTTTCAGTTGAATATGATTCTTGTTCACTTCTTCATAGGGCTCAGTTCGAAGAAATTTACAGTATTTTTAGAGGATCTGGATCCATGAATTCCTAGGTTTTGCACTTTATTTTAAAAAAGGGATTGCCATCCACCCAAATCCCTTTACAAATCAAATTGTTTTCCTGTGCTGTCAAATCTAAATTTCTGTGGTTTTGCAATCCTAGTGATATCCTGTGGGCTATCACTAGGATTTGGGTGGATGGCAATCATCGCCGACCTTTGTTCGATGGCCGTCCGACTGTCGCCGCCGCCCCTTCCGCCTCTTCCGGAGCCAGACTAGGCGCTGTTGTGTGCTCCGACGCCTTTTTTTTCTTTCTTTTTGTTTGGGCTTGTTGAGCTGTGTCCTTAGCAGAACCTTTTGTACTTCCTCTTATGAAACTTGGATGTGTGTGTTTGAACTAGTCTATGTATGTGTGCTCTCTGACGATTTGCTTTATTTATAAAGCAGGGTGAAAGTCTTTTTCGGTAAAAGAATTAAGGGCCATCTGCATCTTGATTGATGCAGGTTTAGCTCCGCCCTACTCTCAAATGCCATGTCGCAGAAGTCGATCTCGCACTGAAATAACTCCACCACCTTAGACCTCTTTGCCCTGGTTGCGGCAGCCGGTTTTGCAGTTTCAGTCTGCTGTGCCGCCTCTTCGATCACTGCAGGTTTCGTCCTGGGTCTCGGGCTCTCGCATGGGGCGCGGGCAAAGCTCCTAAGACTTTGTGAACTACCTGCACTGAACTCAGATTCCCTCTTTCTTTTGCGCCGGCCCTTGCGTCTGGCATAGCATATGATGCTTGTTCTTTTCGAGTTTCCAAGAGGTCAGTTGTTTGAACTTCAACACCTTTTGCCTCCTAACAACCACACTCTTAGGAAAGATACATGGATCTGTAGTGGAAATGCCAGAACATTCTCCTCCATACCATGCCCAAAGAGTTTTTCAGCTCATGTGGAGCTGTGCCACCAGACTCAGACACGAAATCTTTTTCTTTACATCATAAGGCCTGCTCAAAAGGAAGGGTTTCTTCTTGAACAATTATAGTTGCATTCTTTGTGCTCAAGGCACCGAAGAAACTCTGCGACATTTGCTCTAGGACTGATTTTGCCTACAACTGTTGGAACTTCTTAATCCCAGGTAGAAGAAGAGCAATGTCTTTTTATGAGGACTTTGTTGCGTTGGAAAATTTACCAGCCCCTATAGCAATGGACAACGGATGCAAAGGAACGGAAGGATATTCAGAAATGCCGATCCAACCTTTCAAGCTTGGAAGCACTCTTTTAAAGAGGACCTAAACTTGCTCAATCACAGAATCCAGAAGAAGCATGATGCTTGCTTCCAAGGCTGGATTGTCTTTCTTTTTACTAGTTTAGCTAGATTTAGTTTTCTTCCTTTTGTTCCTCCACTTGTAACTTATTACTAGTTTCTATTAATGAAAATACCGTAGAACAAACTATTGTTCTATGGTTCAGGGCCTAAAAAGAAGTCAAAAAGCACAAAGGGATGAAGTTAGAGGCCTGGCAAGATACAGGCATCAAACGATAAACCATTGAATCAAGAATTATCGATCCGTACGAACACCACCGATGCCTTGCGGTGTGCAATAACAGCTACACCAAAACGTGGACAGAGCTAGGAGACTTCTTCATAAGAACAGCACGTGTTGACTGATCTCTCTGTTGTTCTGACTTTTGCTATCTACTAGGGCCATAAATCAGCCCAACGCCCTCGGCGGACCAGAGGGCATCGTGTCCCAGACTAATGTTTACACGATTGGTGTTGTACTGCATTTCATATCAGCAATGACAATGAGTTGTGAAGACACACAGAGAGACAATATGCAAGTGCAAGCAAATTCTATGCAGCGGATGTGAAAACAGCAAATACTGGACTGAAGCATGTAAGCAAAATTTATAACGAACTGTTTTCCCGTTTGTGAGAACTTGACAAGGTCATTATGAAATTATAACAGCTTGCAAAATTATGGACATTATCAGGTCCAAAAACAATGGCAAATAATATCACCCGCTGGGTTCGACACTACAAAGCTACATACACCTTGATGTCCTATACTCACCTGCTCTGCCGTCCTCATATATATTATCTACGAATACTGAAGATTTAAGCAGCAGCTTCCTCTTTTGCCGCAGAAAGCTGGTTCTGGATATGCTGTGGGACAACGTCGAACTTGGCAAGCTGCATTGTGTATGACGCGCGCCCCTTGGACATTCCCCTCAGAGTGCTGACATACTGGAACATCTCGGCCAGCGGCACGAAAGCATCAACCACCTGCAGTCAACAGCAAAGCAAGTTCAATTCTCCAGAAATATTTCAGACAGCAGATCCTGGCAAACTACAAGTCTAATTGGAGAAATAACTCCGAGAATAAAATGGCTATCTCTCGACCAAAAAAGAAAAAGAATAAAGGGTTATTGAATGTTAGATGCTCGGCTATAGCTGACAATGGATGTTAAGTGCAGCAGGAAGATTTGGTGCACTAGACTCAGAATTAGTACATCAGATAGGTCAAATATAATGCATAATCATACTGCAATTTGTTCAATTTTACTCATGTTATTATAGTGTTAGTCAAGGTAGTATTAGTAGTAATAGAAGGCCATAAAGGAGTACTGCTTAATACCTTAAGTCCACCTGGCTTATCTCCGAAGCTGTTAACTTGTCCTCTTCTAGAGTTCAAGTCACCAATAACATCACCCAAATGCTCCTCAGGGGTAATCACTTCAACCCTCATTATAGGTTCCAGGAGTCGTGGGCCAGCTTTCCTCAATCCTTCACGGAAGGCACCCCTGGCTGCAATTTGGAAGGCAAGGACACTTGAATCAACATCGTGGTAGGAACCATCAACCAGCACTGCTCGTAGATCCACAACTGGGTAACCAGCAAGGACACCGTTGGGCAAGCTTTCTTCAATCCCCTTCATCACGCCTGGTACGTATTCTTTTGGCACTGCCCCTCCCTTTATTTCACTCTTGAATTCATACCCACTTCCAGCCTCCATAGGTTCAAACCGCACAATAATATCTGCAAACTGCCCTGAACCACCAGACTGCTTTTTGTGGACATACTGAATCTCTGCAATTTTGGAAATACTTTCACGGTAGTTGACTTGAGGAGCTCCAACATTTGCCTCAACCTGTTCAGACAATTTGTGTGAGTGTAAGTTAACATGAGAGAGAATGCACAACTGTTTTCAGGTTAAGGCGGTTGTGACCGAAAAACTTTTGATACGAAATTCTGAAGTTTTCAGTAAGATTTTGAGTGGGAATGATGACATAATATAGCTACCAAACTATACATGGCACACAAATTAGCCAAGTGAACATTTTACAATCTTATTGTGTAACTTCACAAAGCTGGTGAAATGGGACAGTGTAAGCATAGAAAGGAAATAACGTGAATCATAGGTCTAGCGCGGCACATAGATGCATTGATTGATGACCTAATTAATACAAGTTGAATATAAACATGAAGAAATTGTGGGGTATGTGCTGCATAAATACAACTAGTCAGAATACTAACCTTGAACTCTCTCTTTAATCTGTCTACAATGATGTCAAGGTGTAATTCTCCCATTCCTTCAATAACTGTCTGGTTGGTTTCCTCGTCTCTAGAGAAGTGGAAGGATGGATCTTCCTGAGCAAGCTTTATCAGTCCATTTGCCATTTTATCAGCATCAGCTTTGGTCTTTGGTTCAATAGCAACCTTAATGACAGGATCAGGAAATTCCATACGCTCAAGCACTACAAGATTATCTGGGTCACAGAGTGTTTCACCAGTAATAGTATCTTTCAGACCAGCAAGAGCTACTATGTCACCTGTCACCGCAACTGTTATATCCTCCTTACTGTTTGCATGCATCTCTAGAAGCCTTCCAATTCTTTCCTTCTTATCTTTGTTTGAATTGAGAACGTATGAACCAGCGATCAGCTTCCCTGAGTATATGCGGACAAACGTTAGTGACCCCACATATGGATCAGTCATGATCTTGAAAGCTAACCCAGAAAATGGTTCATCATCACTTGGACGTCTTTCAAGAATCAATTCCGGGTCATCTGGGTCAGTACCCTTCATTGGTGGCAGGTCAAGTGGTGATGGCAAGTAATCAACAACAGCATCAAGCAATGGCTGGACACCCTTGTTTTTGAAGGCTGAACCACATAAAATGGGGACAAAGCTGGCACCTATTGTTCCTTTTCTGATTAATCTCTTCACAGTCGCCTCATCCGGTTCCTTTCCTTCTAGATAGCCCTCCATAGCTTCATCATCCAATTCAACAATAGTTTCGATCATCTGAAGTCTATAGTCTTGAGCCAACTCTTCGAGATCAGCAGGTATGTCTTGGTATGAAAATTGTGCACCGAGTTCCTCCCCTGTCCATACAATAGCCTTCATTCTTATTAGATCAACAACTCCTTGGAAATTGTCCTCTGAACCAATCGGCAACTGTATCACCAAAGGTTTTGCACCCAAATTTGCCACTATCATGTCCCTAGTTCTAAAGAAGTTAGCTCCAAGGCGATCCATTTTGTTTACAAAACATATTCTTGGAACTCCGTACTTATCTGCTTGGCGCCACACAGTTTCAGATTGTGGCTCTACCCCAGCGACACTGTCAAAGAGACATATGGCACCATCCAACACCCTGAGAGCACGTTCAACCTCAAGAGTGAAATCGACGTGCCCAGGAGTGTCAATAATGTTAATTCTATGCTTGTCCCAGACGGCAGTTGTTGCTGCAGATGTAATGGTTATTCCTCTCTCCTGTTCTTGCTCCATCCAATCCATTGTGGCTGTTCCCTCATGAACCTCACCAATTTTGTAGTTCCTTCCAGTGTAATACAGAATGCGCTCTGTAGTTGTTGTTTTCCCAGCATCTATATGAGCCATAATACCAATATTGCGGTAATCCTCCAAAGGCACTTGGCGATCTGGGTATAGAATCAAAAGAAGCAAGCATTTAAGTTATTATAAGCTGAACACAATGATTGGTTTTCAAGGGGAAATGGTGAGGGACTAGCAAGCAAGTGTAAAATAATAATTCAAGTGGCTTGCAGACTTCAGAACGTTAATTGGTCGATTCTTGGCTGTGTGCATCCTTCGTTGGTGCAGAGGCTAGGAGAAAAGCTTCCATAATCTTAAAAATTGGTCATGGTCTAAAGAACTATACCTTGAAAAGGTTCACTATTTCTCATATATTGTTAATAGCTCTATAGATTCAACTTTCATGAGGAACTTCCGTACGTTATATCATGTTTTTCTTTTTTGCTTGTACAGTGTCTCAATAGGCCCGTCAAAAGAGTTTGGAGAATCTATGATTTCGTTGCACAGTAAAAGCATGCTCCTACACACCGCAGTAAATAAGGCGGGCTCCATTTTCCTTCGTTATATATTTACGCATGGTTTTCTTGAAAGATATGGTGTTAAGTGCTAATAATAAGAACAGGCATACATTTATACATCAAATTTGAACTAAAAACCACGACACTTATTATGGATCAGAGGGAGTGATAAACTTTAATACATGACACATATCCTAATTCAGTTAAAAACCCAGACATAATTGCCATATGTTTTGCTCATTATTCTGTTTAAAAGGAAGTAAATCTCGTTAAGATTTGCAGTTTTTAAAGGAGCTGCAAGTACTTTGGTAACACTTATCTAGACATCCCACTAAGGGTTCCTTTGATTCAACGAGTTTTCATAGGAAATTTGGAGGATTATAATCCTTTGGATTTTTTCCCATGTTGGCTGTTTGATTCATAGGATTGCATTCTATAGGAATTTTTCCTAAGGATTTCTTTGTACTAGTTCCCATAGGATTTCTAGCATCCAGTGAAACCAACGTTACATTTTACAGACCAACTCTAATAACAAATAAGAAATTGTGAAATACAGCATTGCTTTTACACCAAGTATTGAGCATTATAGTATTTCATCCATGTTACTTCCTCAATTATTTATCTGGCCGAGCCCACTAACAACCGTAAGCATCACTGCGGGCACTGCTCTAATCTCCCTTTGTGAAAATGGTGAAGCACCTAATGACTATCCAAAAGAACACACCTAAAATCACCATATATATGCTGGCTTGCAATCCACTCCAACTCTCATGGAAATGGAAGATACTCTCTTGGTCATTTTATAAAGCACCGTCTCTACTCTCTTGGTCATTTTTTAGACAGAAGTCTCCTGGTCATTTCATCAAACACGGGCTCTGCATAGAACACGTCTGCACCCACGCCTAGGCTTGCTTGCTCCCTAGCGCAATAGCGCTACAGCGGGAACACTTCTAAAGAAGGAACGGACTCGGCAGGAATGCCAAAAGTGACCAGCTGAGGCTCGCTCACCATTGCCGGCCATGGCGACGACCGAGAGGCGCGGCCTGCGCGGGCGCGGGCGGAGGCTGGCGGCCGGGCCGGCCACCGCGGCGCGCCCGGCGGCGAAGCGGGACGCGGACGGCGCGAGGAAGGGGCGGTGGCCGAGGAGGAGGCGCGAGGCGGAAGCGGCGGCCACGGACGGCCGGCGCGCCGGCGCGGCGGCCCGCGGGAGTGCCTCGGCGGCCATTGCACTGCTGTGTGTGAGTGCCTTGGCCTTCGCTCCCTCCCTGCCTGCTGCCGCCTGCGCTCGTGGGTGAGCGCTGTGGTGGCCGCGCTTATGTGTGCTTGGAGCCGCTCTGATGCTGCGGAGGGGAGTGTCTGCAGATAATGTGAGCCCGCGGGGGCTGCGCGGACGGTTTCCCGTCTCACGTTTTGGATTGCCGCTTTTATTTCTGCTCTACTTGCTTATGAGATTTCTTTTTTCACAATAACAGAAAATTATGAAGCCTTGTGTACTTTATTTAAGCATTAACATGATCAGAATTAGCAATTTCATTTAGGTCGTGCACGAAGGGAAAAGACATACACGAAGCGGTCCTGACCCCGCGTCGACCGCAACTGATGACTACGGGTGTCCCATCTCCGCCGCCATGGATGAGGCTCGGCCCCCTTTCGTACCGGATGACAGATCTCATGGCAGCGGCAGCGCCCGGTGCGACTTGTCCTCACGCACGACATGTATGATGGCGGATGACGCGTTGCTCTTCGCACATCATTGGTGCCCGATGGTGAGAGAACGGCTGTGGTGGCGGCTGGGGGTGGTGCGTAAGTGAGCCGACTTTGTTGCTTGGCACAAAGATCCGTGAGATTCGGCGGTGGGTAGTTGAGGTGGTGGGTGATGCCAGCGTGGGGCGTCATTGTCCTCGGTGTGGCGGCCCTGGGTGTGGCACGCGTGGTTGCCGGTGCGGTGGCCGTTCATCGATGGCGGACGCGACTCAACCAACTCTAGGGAACTTCCGTTCTACCTCTTGATCTGGCGGCCGCCAAGGGGCGACGCAGTGCTGCGGATGTGTGACATGGCTGATGTGCATGCTTTCTGTAATCAATGATGTGCGCGCTTCGATGATGCTGACAGCCAGCGGTGGTTTTCCCGGTGGCAATGGTTGCGGTGGCTGGAGCATGTGAGTGGGAGGATCCTCCGCCTCCCGGATCCGGTGGTTGTTGCAGCCGGCTCGTTATGACAAGGTTGCGGGATGCAACCGAAAGGCTCTTTTGTGGAATTTGGTGGCTCTCACTCAAGCCATTTTGCCCACAGCGGTGAGATGCAGTCTATAGATGGCGGCTCGACGTAGAAGGTATGATTGTTTAGCGACGACAGTGAGATTTTAGCATAGCGCATGTAGTTGTTGGGATCGTGGAAAAACTGATGGCGACAACACATGATCGATTTCTATTTGGTGGTGCTTCTCATTGACCCGGTCTCGAGCACCGGGTGAGAAGCTAGGTCTGATCTGTGTCATGCCTGGCAATGGTGATGTTTTTTCGTTGTTACCTTGTTGAAGGCATTTCTTAGATATGTTCGGACTTATTCTTCAAGGTGAAAATCTAGAATACGGCCCTCTGGTGGTTGGATCAAGTGATGGTGGAGCTTCAGTTTCATTCCCTTATAACTCCATTGTCCTTGTGGTCAGGAGATGTTTCTCGGTCGTTGTTTTGACCGCCTCGGTTTCTTTGCCTTTCCTAGGCATAACTTTGGTCTTATTTGACTTTACTATTTGCTGATGTGTTTCTTTTCTTCCTTTTTGGTGTGTGTGACTTGTGTTGGTTGTGTGCATCTTAACCATACAGAGGTCGGGTGTCTGCTCGTTGTGTTTGTATCTCTTGATGCTTCATCAATAAAATTCGCCCTTTTTCTCGAAAAAATAATTGTATTTGCTATGACTCTGTGTTTCGCTTGGTGAAATATTTATCCTCAAGTTAACAACAAATAAAAATTCTCAAATGAAGTCAACAATCAAAGCAGCTGCTTGATTAAATGAAAAGATTTTGAGAATAAAATATTTGCTAACTCAACAAGGATATTATTTAATCATTTCTTTATTTTATCGCTTATTTTAATGACTAAGAACTCTACTGGATTTTATTCTTGTTATATGGATCCAAAATAGAAAAATAAAAGAATAAGTAGAAGAATTAAGTTAAGGCTGGCGAGCTCCAGATATCAATATCTTTAGTTTCATATTTTGGGGTGTAAGTAAATTATGATCTTTAACACTAGCTTGAAATATAATTCCCGCTTTAGTTTCTCGTTGTGATGGCATAAGACCCTCCCTACAAATCTAAATAATAATAATTTTTTAAATAACAGGGTCTACTTGATGTGAATCAGGCGTAAATGAAACTTCAGGGAAAATCCCATGAAACAAAAAGGATATTCAATTAACATAATATCAACTCATATGTTTCATTATGTTAATGAGGAGATGCTTAAGTTAATGAATATGTTTCATTCATATGTTTAGTTACATGTTTTTCGCCACTTCAAAATATTGGAACAACTTTTAACCGTTTCGATGTGATATATGCACAGACGCAAACAATATCTAGTGAAGATTGGAGCTCACGTAAACAATTTTGTTACAATAGCATTGTAGCAACAATTGGATGTAATCTGTGGTGGTGCAATGCTTTGGTTGAACCAAATTGATGGTGATAAATAAATTATAACTGCTGATACCCTCTTCATTCATCTTGTAATATACCCAATGACAATAATGCAACTTCTTCCAGTTAGACCCGTAACCTATCCGAGTAAGCATATCCTTCGCAAGTCATCTCTCTCTCTCTCTAAGCTCTGGAACGAATTTTTTGCATCATAACTAATACATTGAAAATGTAAATATGTTTATTTTTTAATTTTAGTTGCATTTTTAATACAAAAATGATTGTTTTTTTGTAATTTCCCACTAATAATTTTAAATGGACTATTTTACGGTATTTCCTCAAAAAGGTAAAACACATGCAGGAAAATTGTGCGTTATCGGGAGGAAGGATCCAAAAGGCTAGTGAAGGGCACCATGGGCTAGCGCCACACCTTAGGTGTGTTGGATTGGGTTTCGGGCTCACTGCCCATGGGGCACTATTGCAATTGACAAAATACACCAGGAGTGTTGTTGGGGACTTAAGAAACTCTATTCTATTTTCCGTTGCACCTGGGCCCCAACAAACCATACAAGAGAAACGAGATAGTTTATTAGGTAGTGATACCTCCCAATTGGCATGTAAGAAAATGCTCTCCATCAAATTTCTCCTCATTAGCTAGAGAGTGACAACGTCATGCCCATGATGTCACTGCATGTTTGGGCCCAATCTAGCAGCATGGAGGATAGGAAGTCGAGACATTTTGCACACGGTGTTCACAACTTTCTTATTGTTCCTGCTGCAAGACACACATTGGGGTGTGGAGATGCATTCATGTCCATGTGGCATGGCCAGCGGATGTAAGTGGCTCAAACACGATGTGGTGTAGGAATCTGAGGTCTTGAAAGTGTATCAAGCATCTTGTATATATCCAAACAAAGCCATTGATTGGCTACTTGCTAATCTAGGTGATGAAATGAGACACAAACTTGTCGAGAGATCAAATGTGAACGAGGCCTAGCATCATAGAACACATCAATAAACAAGATTATCATGAATTTGATAGACATATTCCCACACCCACACATTCATGCAAGGTAATGAGGAAGAGCGTGTGGTTCGAATATAGGTTATTGCAGATAATTGGATCGGATGTAGGGAGAAGACAACGCGTGAGGAAGGGACGAAGGAAAAGAGGTACAACATATCGGCGAGGGAGGAGCAACACGTCGACACCAGCATAAAGGGGCAGGAGGATGAGCATGTTGTTGGAGGATGAGGAACAGTAGAGCTAGCTAGGATTCATGCGATGGATATTGAGCTTCGATGAGAGCCAATTCTGCTCTGGCTCAAACACTTTACCACATAGTATTTTATTGTCCTTGTTTGCGGCCTAATCCTCAAAGGAGAACACACAAAAGTCCAAAAGGGGAGATTGTCAAAATGCAAAAAGAAAAACTAGGGGGAAATGCTACATTGAATGTAAGTAAGGGGGAATGTGAAAGTGCAAAGTGTTGGGGAACGTAGTAATTTCAAAATTTTCCTACGCACACGCAAGATCATGGTGATGCATAGCAACGAGAGGGGAGAGTGTTTTCTACGTACCCTTGTAGACCGTTCGCGGAAGCATTATATCAGCGCGGTTGATGTAGTCGTACGTCTTCACGATCCGACCGATCCAAGTACCGAAAGCACGACACCTCCGAGTTCTGCACACGTTCGGCTCGGTGACGTCCTTGCTTTCTTGATTCAGCAAGAGGGGCGAAGTAGTAGATGAGTTCTAGCAGCACGACGGCGTGGTGACGGTGTTGGTGAAGAATAATCTCCGCAGGGCTTCACCTAAGCACTACGAAAACTAGGACGGAGGATAAACTAGAGGGGACGGGGTTGCCGGCACACGGATTGGTGTTTCTTGATGTGTCTTGGGTGCTAGCCCTACCCATCTATTTATATGTTGAGCCTTGGGGTCGAAACTTGGAGTAAAAGCCTCCACAAAGTCGGTTTCACCTGAAAGGCAAGAGTCCTTCTCGGACTCCACGACCAGACGCCAGGGACCCTGGCGTCTAGCCCCTGGACTCCGCAAAACTTCCTTTTGCTCTTTCCAAAAACCTTGTGGGCTTTCCCCTTTGGCCCAAATAAAGTGTTCTCGTACCCAAACATTTCGGGAAACATCCGGAGCCCCTTCCGGTGAATTCTGGAACCCTTCCGGTGACCAAACACTATTATCCCATATATCAAACTTTATCTCCGGACCATTCCGGAGTTCCTCGTCATGTCCGTGATCTCACCCCGGACTCCGAACAACATTCGGTCACCAACATACATAACTCATATAGTACTATATCGTCAACGAACGTTAAGCGTGCGGACCCTACGGGTTCGAGAACTATGTAGACATGACCGAGACACCTCTCTGGTCAATAACCAATAGCGGGACATGGATGCCCATATTGGCTCCTACATATTCTATGAAGATCTTTATCGGTCAGACCGCATAACAACATACGTTGTTCCCTTTGTCATCGTTATGTTACTTGCCCGAGATTCGATCGTCGGTATCTCAATACCTAGTTCAATCTCGTTACTGGAAAGTCTCTTTACTCGTTC